ACACATGGTGATCATCTGAGTAACTGTGTGCTAAATCTAGAAGTATTTAATACATAATGATCATCTGTGTATCCAGAGTGAAAATGATCTTCTTAAAATATAATACAAAGCTAATCTGTTATACAGATAGTGCAAAATAAAGATCTAAACTAAAAGAAATCTAAAGGAAGATAACCCAATCAAAATTGTTACAATTTGTTTGTTCTGTAAATTAACTTCAGATTTGAATACTTTTAAATAATAAAAATAATCATAAATTATAAAATTAAAATTATTCATATTATATTTTATCTTGTTTATAATCATTAACAAAATAATTTTATAAAATAATTTAAAAATTTTACTTTTAGTTAATAATATATTAGTACATATTATTCTTGATAAAATTACAAAAAGATTAGATAATATGTAAGTTAAATTTCTTTTTCTAAATTAAAGATATTATCTTAATTAATTATAATTTGTGATAACTAATCAGAAAATTATAATCAATTATATTAACTAATCAGAGAATTATAATCAAGTTATGATATTATTTTTATTTTAAATATAACTATAATTCTCTAATCTTGTGATACTGGAATTATTTATTTATTTAAGTGTTAATATAAGTATTTATTTATCTAAAACTAAATTAATACTTATAATAATATTCAAAATAATATAATATAAAAACTCATAAAATATAATATCTATCATGTATTACTTAATGTAATAGAAATATGATTTATAATATCATCATAAATAATTAGAAACTGCTAGAAAAAAACTGATATTCTTCTATCAAAAGAAATAAAAAACTTTATTAAATCTTCAAAACATGATATTTGTGATTCAATTTCAAATAAATATGTTTTTATCATAAAAATAATTTTTTATCTTAAAGAAAATATATTAAATTAATCTAACTTTATTTTGACAATATGAATCAAAAACAAAAACTTCAAGAATTAATTAATCATCTATTAGTAAATAACTATTTTACAATGTATGAATATATCAGCATTAATGATATTAAAGTTAAGCATGAGCTCACTAATAAGAAAATATTAATAATAATAGCAGATGAAAATAAGAAAGAGAAGGAGTCTGTTAATAAACAAGTAGAAAAAATAAGTTATAATGAAGCAGAAAAGTTCATAAACCAAGTATTACAATTTTTATACAAACAAGAATCAGAATTTGATGAAATCAATGAGAAGGTAAAAATTTTAAGAAGACTACATAGATGAGTTAAGTTGATGGTTATAAATAACCTTAAGCAAGTTGATCTTCATTATTTTCAGAATTAATAAATAAGAGTGAAAATAAGTATAAATCTTTTCATTTGTCAGTTTCTAGAATGATTCATTGTTGCCATCAATTTCGAGAGTATTTCGTTGTCATTATCAATTTCTAGAGCATTTTATTATATATTTCTGTCGTCGTCAATTCATTGTCGTTGTCATCGATTCTTAGAGGATTTCGTTGCATTAGAGTATTACATAATCATGTATTTGATTCTATTGGTCAGCTTTATATAACGAACTCACCCTATAACGAACCAAATGTCCCAGCCCGAGAGGTTCGTTATAACCAGAGTCGACTGTAAAATAAATTGTGTGATGTTATTATTAATCATGGCAAAAAAAGTAATAATTTACAAGGGTAAATCAAGATATAATATATGGGCAAAATTTTTCGTTACACATTGAGCTCTTAAAAGTTACACGGTCACTTTGCTAAATCGTATGTTTATCATGATCATGTGAAAATCGGATTATACTGAAAATTATGGCCAAAATTTTGCAGAGCTGTAGATCAATTTGACCAAAATTATCGGTCTGCCACAATAAGTAATCGGTTTAAATAAATACCCGATAGAAATAGAAATTTGAAATAAACTTTGATATGATATCCTTTGAAACGTTAGCAGACAAAATAATAGATAAATTTGACAAAAAATGGATGAGAATGAAAATGTCAAGTCGACGCATCTTGTAGTTTGTGTGCATGGGTAAGGTTATGGAAATCTGACAAATGATAAGGTCTTTTGTTGTGCATTTACTTACGAATATAATTTTTTTTAGATTATGGGGTAACCCTGGACATTTACAATATCTTGTTGACCAGCTGATAAAAAAACACGGAAATTCGATTAATATTGTAATTAATTTTTTAATTTATTTAATAATATTCATTATTTTTAATTCTAAATTGATTTTTTCATTTAGTTGAACGCAAAATGCAATGAGTCGTCATATACGTTTGATGGCATTGATATTTGTGGAGATCGCCTAGTCGAGGAGGTTTTTTATTTTACTTCGTAGTTTTTTTAAAGTCTCATATACAAAGGCACTCTATAAGAAACTTTTTTTATCAGCCCGGAGGGATTCGTTATATCGAGAGTGCCTTTGTAGACGGGAATAATGAATTCTAACATTTTATTAATTTTTAGATCAAAGAAAAAATAAAAAGTCTAAAAGAAGATGGTATAAAAATTACGAAATTCTCAATCATAGGATATTCGCTCGGAGGCTTATTTTCACGATATGCAATTGGTATTCTTTACAAACAAGGAATATTTGATGAAATACAACCTTGGGTAATTGATTTTTTTCATATAACGTTTATATTAATTAATTATCTATATTAACATAATAAATTCTATTTGTGTTTTGATCTTAGCTTTTTACTACTTTTGCTACACCACATTTGGGCACAATATCAAATGTACAGAGAACAATACCGAAATTTATTAACTGGGCTTCGCCGCGGATTCTATCAAAAACTGGTATGTGTATTTATTATTTTTTTTTAATAGATTAAAAAAATATTCACGAATTATTTTATTAGGTGAACAATTCGCATGGATTGATAAATACGATGGAAATACTCCAATACTTTCAGTGATGTCCGATCCGGGTAAATATAAACGATTTTATGCAAAAGAATTTTACTTTTTTTAAAATACACCAAATATTAACATTAATTAATATTTGTATTTAAAGATCGCATGTTTTTTAAGGCGCTCAAGTTATTCCAGTATAGGAAAATTTATGCAAATATTTTGAATGATAATACGGTGCCTTATTGGACTGCGGCAATTGAAGAAATCGATCCTTTTGAGGAATTTGATCAATTATCTCTGTAAGTTCTCGTAATTGATGTTTTTGATTATAGTTTGCTGTTTTTGATTTTTATTAATAAGAAATCTAATTAACTACAGATTAAAAAACGAAAAATGTGATGTTATTATCGATAAAATATCACTTAAAGAAGATGAAAAGAATACGATTTTTAAAAAAGCAAAAGATACACTAAAGTATCTTTTAGTTGCGTTAGTGGCCCCAATTGTGGTTCCTATATGGCTTATTACTGTTGTTGGTTCTGTCTACGTGCAAGCAATGATTTCACAAAGACGAGTGCAAAAAATCACTCAGAATCGAATTAAGTATGATGTTAATGAAGAACAAACACAATTTTTACCAAACATAGCATCGAATATAGAGCAAGAGAACATCGAAGCAATGGCTAATATGTTATCATCTGAAAAATCAGTAACCTCAGAATCATCGTCATCCGGATCAACTTCAGCCGGAGCCTATAATTCTATTAATACATTAATATACGAGCACAATTTCCCAAAAGTGCCATCGATTGATGAACAACGCGAAGCCTGTAAAAATTTAAACAAGCTACCGTTACAAAAGTACGCGGTGTATATGAATGGGTTTAATTCGCACGCGGAAATTGTTGTACGAAATAAGTTCTATAATTTTATGAACGGAAAGAACGGAAAAAAGCTTATAAAGCATTTTGTGGAAGAAAGCTTTGTTGTGTAACATTAATTCAATATAATACAGTAAATTTTATCACATGCTCACGTGGCAATGATAATAAAACAAGTTTAGAACTATGTAAAATTACATTTTCCCATGTTAGATTTTGGCATGCATCTATTTTTCGGCAGAATATAAGGTACCCTTGTAATTCAAAATAATTACGGTAGATCATTTTCAAGAAAAAAATGGAATCACACAGAGAAAAGATTACTCTTATTTTACAAAAAGCCACCATCCTAGTTGGTCAAACTAAAGACAAAAATAATGATACCACTACTAATGGCAGTTCTATGCCTGAAACACTTGCAAAAAGACTTGAAAGGTGTAAAGAAAAGATAAGGGCACAAACAACAGTAACTACTATGAAAGATCGAGAGATTAATTTAAACTTGAGTGACGAGAATACTTCAGTAAAAGAAGAGCACCAACAGTATATGAATAAAAATACTGATCAAGACGTTAACAAAAAATTGTTGAAAATACAATACGTGGAACTGTGTTTGGAGACATTAATAGAATTGAATGATGTTTTTCGAGAAAAAAGTACGTACATTCCGTTAACTAAGAAAGATAATAAAGCCGATATTACATATTTGATCATCATAAATTTTATTATTTGATAAATAATTCTCATGATTTCTTCTTAAGCAGCTCAAAATTCTCAACAACAAAAAAAACAGTCAACTTCGGATGTAAGTGATGAGCTTTTGGGTGTGAGAGATCTAAGACTTATTCATACGATGTTAGAGATTGTGGTTAGCTGGGGAATTTATCCATGTTTGATGCCTGGTGTTGGAATTCCACTTTCGCAACGTAGTATATCTGGATTTACTCAAACTGGTAGGCATTAAAATTTACAGTTTATAATAAAATTAATCAACGTAATGACTGATTGAACTTTATCGTTTAGAGATACTAAATGATCTTAATAAAGATGAAAGTGATAATTCGAAAAGCCTTGACGATCCTCGTGCACAATATGTAAAATTATTCAACCTTTTAGAATCCTTAACCTCGATCATTTTTTCTTGTAATAATAATGAATTGTCATATAACTACACCAGCATCTCGCAAATACTGTTGACTCGGCATCTTATTGATATGTATGCTGCACTGTTACAATTAGCGTATGGACCTATGCCAAAAATCGGTGATGTTGCGGCGGAGACTCGAGATCCAAAAAATATTACGAATAGAAAGCAAATTTCTGCGCAAGTTTCATCTTTTAGTGTGAGTGAACAAGATGAGGATGTTGAATCATCGTTATCTGCATCATCAAGGAAAGTTGTAAATTTTGAAAAAGCGCGTCAAGAAAGTTTTGCCATGTTTAGCAGAGTTTTTGAAAGGTGTGATTATAACGATAATGTCAATGAGCTCATCTCTATTTTTCCTTTGACTTATGAAACGTATTTTTTCATCTTAAATATTAGAGCCGACGTATATCGATCTTTAGAATCATTAATGATATTATTAGGTGCTTCGCCACTTCATCCTGCTCCAAATTGGTTGAAAGGCATTTGCGGTCGATTACTTACACACATTTTACTGAAACCTGATGGCGTAAAAAAAGTAATTGATTTTATGATTGGTGGTGAAAATGAAGGTTTTTATTAATCTTCTTTTGCTGGGAATACATAAATTTTTCCGTTTGGACAATCACTCATAATTTCGATTTTCAGTCAATTTCTCTAAACAAGAGAATATAGCTAGAGTACTGTTATCTGTACCAAGTCAAATGACGTCTGTCGAGGTAATTATTTCATGGTAATAATGTTGGTAGTTGGATTTATTTTAATAAATCTAAATCAAATTTCTATATAAAACAATGTAATAGGATTATTTCTCCAAAATATGTCCTCAACTTCTTGACATTCTCGCATCAACTCGTAAATCAACATCCTCCGACAATGATATAAATGCAAAAGATGAAATATCCGTCACAGCAACTGTAGCCGCGTTCACAATCATAAGAATGAACGCAAAATATCCAGCATTAACGAAAAAACTTGTCATCAATAAGTTATTTGAGAAATTATCAAAATGGTGGGGAATAACGCCAGAGCGGGAACAATCCAATTCGACGATTCTTTCTGATGCAAGTGTTCAAGATTCATCGATCATATCGGATTTGACTTTGGACGACCCGATGGTGATGGATGAAACGTCCCTTCAGTCAACTATTAGAGTCGTACATCGTATTTTAGTTGGTAGTGAGCCTATTCCTGATCTGTTGCAATCTTTTTTGGAGGATGCAATCGCCCCATTGTATCATTTATACGCTTTTACAGTTGTCTCGAAGTCAAATTTGCGAGAAGCTGTGCTGGACATTTTACTGTCATATTTCAGAATCGTGACAAACTCGGATGGATTAGAAGCATTGAAAGAGATTGTATTTAGGAAAAGTAAGAGATATGCAATACAACCACCAGAAATTGGTGACGTGAATGAAGTGTATTTTGCACCCGGTCCTTTGGGAGGCTCAGTGATGAGATTACGTTTGTAAGAATACATTCACTCTAATAATTAAGTTAAATATTCTATAAATCGAAATTGATCTCGCTGTTTTAATATTAAATTAGGAAGAAGCAGCATCTTTCACCTACAACAACAAATCTCGATGTAGATTTATTTATTGCTTTTCTGAAATCTCTATCGAACAACGATTTAACCGGTGATTTTTTCATGTATCTTTTAAACGAGTACACTGCCGCCAAAGCCGATTATTTGCAGACGGCAAATTCGAAACGGTAATCTGAAAATGAATTTTTCTTCATACATCAATACGATAGTTAACTCGCTGAAAAATTCTTTCGTTTAGTGTCCTGACATTGCTTCATCTTGTTTTAGGCATGATTGACTCTCTCGGATCTGATATATTACGTAAACCAGGCCAAGTGATTGCATTTGTCAATAATGTATTGGAGAATTATCATAGTCGAGTTGATAACGAAGACGCTCGAAAGAAAAAGAAGCAACATGGAAATAGTATAGAGTTGAGTAGTTTAGCTAATATTGTTGATGACGAAGAGAATTCAAATGTTGAATTACCTGAAGATCAACAGGATGAAGACGAGACACTCACTCTGGCTTTGACATTATTGACATCCTTATTAGCTGGTAATTTTTTATAATGAAAAACTATTTTAATTCACTTTTTATTAATAAACTTTTACTTCTATTTATAGAACATAAATCTCTTTCTACGCAAGATACACACATACTTAATCTTGTTTTCGAGAATCTATCTAGATTCGGGAATCATCAGTCTCCCGACGTTCGACAAATGACACGTGAACTGCGTTTAGCAGTTTCTGTTCGTAACGCTGCACGAACGTCCTCATCATCGTCATCACCTATCAATGAGAAAATGCGTAAAAGAGAAGAGTCGGTACAAAAATATAAAGAAGCCATGGAAGCATTACAGGATGAAATTCTGCCAGTGCGAGCACGTGGACTGGTCATACTCAAGGAAATGATACTAGCAAAGGATCCTTTTATAAATGAAGATGATAATCTGTCAAAGGTGTTGGATATTTTTATACAAATGATTCAAGATGAAGAAAGGTAATATTTATTGATTTCATTGCCTTTATGTATACATGTATTATCTAACTAACCGACTTATAATCTTTTGCACAGTTTCATTTATTTAAATGCGGTTCGAGGTCTTTCCTCGCTCGCAGAAGTACATGGTCAAACGATAATGCAAAAATTAATGAAATGGTATGATAATCCAAATGAGAATATCGATAATCGATTACGAGTGGGCGAAGCGATATTACAGACGATCCAAAGATGTGGTAAAGCACTCGGAAAATACAGTAAGTAACTAATCTTTATTCTACTCTATTTTATTATCAATCCACACTTAAAATTATATAATTTCAAAAATAAAAGTCACTACTCTGCTTCCACCATTACTACATGTCCTCGACAAGGATCAGAATGAACAACTACGCGTCTCATCACTGTCAATTATCGGGACTGCATGTCAAACATCACCATACGCGTTGTCTTTTTGGTTTGATGACTTGGTCGGATGGATATTGAATATTTTGGATTTTGAAAAGATGATTGAGGTTCGAAGAGGTTTGTTTATTAGATTAAAGATTGTATTTTTATAATTTGATATTTAGATTTATCAAGTATTCTGTATCAATTTAATAGCATCAGTTGTACTACTGATATCTTTATTTCGTGGTCTTGCCGTTGACACAATACAACAAATTTACGGGGATCTATTGAAAAGAGCTTACATTTCTTTGCGATACATTGAAAATACCGATACTGATGATTTGACACGGTATCATGCAAGAGTATGTCTTAGTGACTTGGATGTGATTGTCAAAGATTTTTTAACAAGTGGTAGTGATAATGATGATACACCTGACCCAGCAAGAAATTCTATTTTATATATTGGAAATAAATAAATAAATAAATGATGTCTGTCTTGCCTACATTTAAATTTAAATATAGGATTTTAAAGCTTCATGTGATTCATATGGAATAAACTTTTTATGAAATTCTAGCATTATAATTTGATGATTCGATTTTTATGTTAAGTAAATCATGATGATATTTTTCATGTGATGATTTTTTATCATGAAATTTATAAGAACACGAATATTCAATTGAATTAATAATTAGAATGAAATTTATAATATTTTTGAGTAGAAATTAATTAGACAAAAAAGTAAAACTAATAGAAAATACTAAAGAAAATTAAAAGAAAATTAAAAGGAAAACTAAATTAAAACTTGTTCTACTCAAACTTGTTATTTTTTTATATTAAATTACAGATCTTATTTAACTTTTACAAGATTACTAATCTCGATCTAATCTATCATTCTCTTGATTAATAATTGTGAATTAATTTCCGGAAAATGTCACCTACCATAAAACGTTTTGTACAGTATCCCCGGAGGGATACTATACATACGGTACATCCTTGTTCACTTGCAAATAAAGAGCAAAAAGCCCAATCAGAAAATCAACTAAAAGAAATTAGAAAGGAATTAATGAAAGAAACCTGAGTCGAAATCATATTAGAAACTAAGAATGTAATGGTATTGATGTTTATCAAACGTAGATGTCATACGTTCTATTTATTGCCAAATATATTTGTAAATCACCGGAAAAATATTGTGCCAATTTTTTTCTAGCATGCAACGCATTAAAAAAATTCAACAAATACATTATTATTAAATGCTCTCTTCTACTCTATTAACTATAGCGAATAATTATGAAAGAAAAAAACGAAAACTAAAGTACATTCACAATTCTCGCTTTTGAATCCATCTATTGAAGAAATCTAAACTTGGGACTGGTTGATCATAGGGTGTCATATGTCCCGCTTCAAATATCTGTAGAAAAGTGAGTCCTTTATAAGATCGTACTTTTCCGGCTATTGATTCACTTCCGTCTTCAATAATCCAATCTTTATTAATGGCTTTATTGAATCCATCTTTACCCGGCCATTCAAGTTCATTGACCCAAGCCAAATTGCCTATATATATATTTATAAATATTTGTAATGAATTTATTTATAGATATAGAGTGCAGAACACATTATACATACCTAACCAATTACAAATAAAGTCGGCATCACCAGCATAGACCAAAACGCGAATATTATTCGCCAAAAGTGGTGGAATTGAAAGATGGAAAGGACGCATCCTATATAAATAGATAATAATTGGAAACTTCAATTCGTAAGAATGAAAATGAAAAAAATGAAAAACTTACCAATCGCCTGCCATTTGGAATCTGAAATTTATTTTACATTATTAAAAAGTTATTAAATAAAAAATTTACAAACCATTTAATAACAATAATTCACCTGAAATTAACTTCCATATTACAGGACTTGTACTCATCAACTTCAGCGCCGAGTTCTTCCATAATTTCCTTTTTATTCAAATAGGTTTCAATCGATCCCAAAATCGGATAACATAAGTTATTTCCCTCGCATTTTTTTCGGACATCGTAAGGATTTTTGCCAGTTGCTTGATACGGTTGAATTAGTTCCTTGTTACAATACATCGAGGCCGGCAAACAATTAAATACATTCTGGGACTTGTAACAATTATTGATTAAGCGTGCACAAGTTGGATACGCTTTTCGCATTCTATCGCAAGTCGCCTCGTCTAACACAGGTTCATAAGTGGAGTTACACGCCATCTCGGGATAGTATTTGTATTGTACTAATGAGTCGACAAGGCCATTGCCAATCAATATAGATTCAAGATTGATGTGCTTAAGATGCTTGGGTTTAAAGGATTGAATCCAAGCAGAGGTCCCTTCGTTGTTTTTGTTAATCTCTGCGGCAATGGCTGGAATGTAATGACCAGCATAAGATTCACCGGCAATATGGAACTCTAAGTTTGCATAGTCGGGGAATTCCTTGAAGAAGATCTGTAGGAAAGCGTAAACGTCCTTGGCTGCCGCAAGGGTATTCGAGACGCTGTTACCATGAGAATAGCCGACATTCGTGGGCTTTTTTAAAACATAAAAATATTACAAATCAGGTTTAAATATCGATTATAATCTATTCATCTATTTAAACTCACCTGATCCAAGAAAATGACTGTTGAATTGCTATTCCAAGAGTATGGGTTAATAAATGTATCACTGCCATCATCATTCACCGTACATGGTCCCAATTCAAAGAATAATCCGGTTAAAGAGCTGCAGCCTGGACCACCGTTGAGCTGTAATAATGTAGAATAAGATTCAACAATTCTTCTAAAATTGAAATATCATAGATAATATTTTAACTTACCCAAAGAGTAATTGGATCAGTTTTCGGATTATTACGAGACTCAAATATCCAGAAGAAGAAATGTTTATTTGAACTGGCATCAAGATAACCTGAATACTATATTTTTAACCGGAGAAAACCAAATTTAAATCACGTGACATAAAGGTCATGTATCGTTATCTGAATATTAACCTGCTTGACAGAAGAATCACACAATTTTGGTTCCTTCATTTTGATATCGTAGTCGGGGAAATCATCATGTGTCAAAATTTTGGCCCAGCTTTTATTTTTGTTGCCTTTTTTTGGCTTCAAATAATCTTTAACATTATCAATTTCATGGTTGAATACGTCGCCTATACTATCCCAAATATCTTCTAGACCGTGTTTTATTTCATCAAAACCTTGTTGAAAATTTTTAATATCATCGATATTTTCCGCAACTTTTTCATTATTATTTTCAAGGGTCACTTGAACTTCACTGGTGGTCTCCGCTAACCGTACTCTATCACTGCTTGATTTCTCGTCGAAACCAAATACGGTAAACTCTTCGTCAAAAAATTCGGCGTGAACTTTACACGAAAGCAAAATGCCGCCGACTAGAACAAGTACTACGATAAAAAAGAACGAGCCAAAATTGTCTCGTTGCAAAGTCATTTTTTATGAATAGAAGTTTGTTATATTCAGAGAACAGGAGAAAAGAACATTGGTGACTGAAATATGTAGATATTTAACGCCATTGTTAATTGTGTAACTACTCGTTCAATCACATATAGATTATGATTATAAGAGATTGTGACCAGGGAACGCGGAGATTCCGATATCAATTAATCCTTGTCGAATTACGTTATCGTTATGG